ATTGAGATGATGCTTAGAGAGGATGCCGAGGCTGGGCAGGTAGCCATAGAGGAGGAACCTATAGATTATAATGAGGAATGGGGTGCGTCTAGAATACCTTTAAACATGACCTCAAAGAGGTTGGGAGAAATTAGGGAGAGGTACTGTTTAAGTAGAAATGCTGGTCCCTGAGGCCCACGAACGGGCCTGCTATTCGAGGCCCAGATGTGTGGCAGTGAGTGAGTACCTGTTTAAGGTAGGTATGCGTCTTTCTCTACATCTCTTCTTCAGGGCAGTGCTGAGAAACTTCATGTTGTCGTCGACCTAAGTTCTACCAAATGGGTGGAGCCAGTTGGTCGGCTCGTACTTCCTATGGAAGGAGGTTTCTATAGGCGAGGATATGCCCCTTCATGTATTCCAGACTCTTTTCGAGCCTTGGGTCCTAGGCAAAGATGAGTCTAAGGGGTGGTATTATATTATTCCTTGGGGGGCTCACGCACCTTTTATGGTGGGGCTACCTTCTTCCATCAAGGGATGGAAGGAGTTGTAGTTCTGGGTGAATGAGAGGTGGCAGGTAGTGGAGGGGACAAAGTCTTGGCTTTCAAAGTACCGACCCAGTATTACGAAATTCGTGAGTGTCCCAGCCTGAGTTACATTTTGCGAAGTTTCTCAAATTTTTGTTAACTGTTGCCACTTGCTCTGTAGATTCTAGTACAAGGTTTGAGCTTAGCAAGGAAAAGTTCGAGGTTATAGAGAACATATACAAGTGGCCTTTGAAGCTTCGTCACTTCGACCACTTCATTGACTGAAGTCGATGCTTTCTTGATTTCGAATTGATGGATTCTAAGGGTAAGAAGTGCATATATACACGATCAAATTTTTTTATTAGGTTAATCCTCGGTGCTAACCTGTTATATGCTTTGCAGATAAGTTCAAGAGGAGGGAATACCACATCCCAGATAGGGCCTCAATTCTAAAGACTACCTTTACAGTTGGGATGAGACCCCTGAAGCCGAGCTCTAGTGGGGCCAAAGGGACAGGGGCAAGCTAGAGAGGCTGTCCAAAGACAACATCCCCAGGGGGTCTAGCAAAGAGGCCCCCAGAAATCTGAGAAGGCTAAGGAGCCTCGAGGTAAAGAAAATGTCCCTGAGGACTCCCATAAGAAGAGGAGGCTGGTTCATATCACTAGTTCTTTCAAGAAGTTCGAGACATCGGTGCCCCATTCCAGCAAGGAAGCCCCTCCTCAGCCGAAGCTGTTGGACTCTGCCATGAAGGCAGTAAAAGTTGAAATGATGAGGAAGGTTGAGGCTGAAGTGGCCATGGAAAAGGTTGCCAGGAGGGTAGCAGAAGAAGCTAAGGAGGAGACAGCCAAACAGAGGCCAGACAGGACTCAAGCGAAGTTCCCCAATTTTTCTGGCGAGGAGTGATGAGGTATTGGCACCAGCTTTGTTCGATGCGCTGTCGGCAAATGTTCGAAGCACCACAGAAAGTTCTTACAAGTTCTGGACCGATCGGTGGTAACTGCATGCCTCAAGTTGCGATACGGTGGACCTCACCAGGGCTTTGGTGAGCTAAAGTGTGAGGACTTTGGGTCTCACACTTGAGTGTAGGGAGATGCTCGTTGATTTTCAGACGAGGAATAAGTCATCGAAGGACAAGTTGGCCTCCACTGAGGAGGAATTGAAGAAAATAAGGGCTAAAGCAGAGAAGATGAAGGCCCAAAAAGTTGAAGATGCTGCTAGGTTGGAGTCTGCCTTGGCCCAGATCGAGACCTCAAAAAAGGAGGTCTATGAGTCCCAATGTGAGGTGGCTTCCCTCACAAAAAAGGTGGAGACTTCCAATAATCACCAAAGGATAACGGTCGAGGCCCTGGAGAAGGCTAACAGGGAGTTAGCAAGGGCCCAAGATGCTTATAAGTTTTTAGATGATCAAATAAAGTGGCATGTTAACGAGCTAAAAAAGGCAAGAGAGGAGGTCCAGGTGGCGAGGGAGGAGGCAGTTAAGAATTACATTGCCAACTTTCATCTCACTGTGGAGTATCAGCGCTTCGGGTTGTATTGAAGGAACTTTGCCTATGCTAAGGTGCTGGATAGGTCTGAGGAGCTTTTCCCAAGCGTCGACCTATCACAACTGAAGTTGGAGTTTGTCGATGAAGTTTCTCAGACGCCTGTTGAGGAAGCAATCGGTGATGAAGCGGTCGAGGATAATGAAGCAGACACTTCTGAAACTCAAGTTGCGGAGGTGCCTGTTGCCAAGGCACCCCCACCATCCGCCTAAGTGGAGCATAGTTTACTTTTTATTCACTCGAATGTACTGGCCTCGAGCCTACCTCTTGTAATATATTTAATGTCAATGAATGTCATGTTTTGCAATGTTCTGTTCATTTTTCAATATCTAGTGAATGGACCTCGCTAAATAATTAAACTAAAGGATGAGTTAATAATCCGGACTTAACATCCTAACTTCCATCACTTGAAATAATCAAGCTTAAGGATGAGTTAATAATCAGGCTATCTAAATGATGACTTAATGGGTTGCACTGAAGTTCCATCACTTAAAATAAATCGTGATGTCCACATTGAATGAAGTATTCAATGCAAACTGAATAGATTATTAGACTGGACTTCTCTATTGAGTTCGAATTGAGGAGGTGAGACTATGGTGGATGGGATGTGCATTTAGAGGCTTCTTCCTTTAGCGTTCAGCCTCGCTAAAGGGAGGCATGTGGCGTGTACCTCAGATTTCGGTTGAGGTGACCCCAGAGCTGGGAGTCAGGATCTTTCATCTGAGGTGCCCATGCTTCTCTACATGGTAAATGGTGCAGCCATGCAGAGGCTTCTTCCTCTGGCGTTCAGCCTCGCCAAAAGGAGGCATGTGGCGTGCTCCTCGGAGTTTGGACGAAGTGATCCCAGAGTTGAGAATCAGGACCTCTCCTCCGAGGCGTCCATGCTTCTCTACATGGTGGATGGTGCAGCCAAATAGAGGCTTCTTCCTTTGGCGTTCAGCCTCGCCAAAGGGAGATATGTGGCGTGCTCCTCGAAGTTCGGTCGAGGTGATCCCAGAACTAGGAACTGGCACCCTTTTGTCGAGGCACCCACGCTTCTCTACATGGTGGATGGTGCAGTCATGTAGAGATTTCTTCCTTTCACATTCAGCCTACCTAAAGGGAGGCATGTGACGTGCTCTCAGAGTTCGGGCGAGATGATCCCAGAGCTGAGAATCAGGACCTCTCTTTCGAGGCGCCCATGTTTCTCTACATGGTGGATGATGCAGTCATGCAGAGGCTTCTTCCTTTGGCGTTCAGTCTCGCCAAATGGAGGCATGTGGCGTGCTCCTTAGAGTTCGGGCAAGGTGATCCCAGAGCTGGGAATCAAGACCTCTCCTCTAAGGTACCCACGCTTCTCTTCTTCATTTGACGTTCAGCCTCGCTAAAGGGAAGAATGTGGCGTGCTCCTCGGACTTCGAGCGAGGTGATCCCAGAGCTGGGAACTGGCACCTCTCCTCTAAGGCGCCCTCGCTTCTTTACAAGACGGATGGTACAGCTATGTAGAGGCTTCTTCCTTTGGCGTTCAGCCTCGGTAGACGGCGTGAAGAGATGCTCAATCAGTACTATTACAAGTAGTTCAGAGTCTTTGCTACTCGCAAGTTTAGAGAGTGCATCGGTATGTGCTTTCTCGATACGAGAGATCTGTATTATTTTGAATTTTTCAAAAGATGGGAGGAGATTCATCACCATCTTCAAGTAGGAGGCCATGGTTTTATCCCTAGCTAAAAAGCTACCATTCACTTGGCTTACCACCAGCTGGGAGTCACTCTTGATACGTAACCTCCTTACTTGCATTTCTTTGGCTAATCTGAGGCTTACAAAGAGTGCCTCATACTCGGCAGCATTCGTAGTGGCTTTAAATTCGAACCTCATGGCTGAATTCAGCTTGTGACTTTCTCGCTGACTAGGACTATCCCAGCTCCCGAACCTTTGTCTCTAGCCGAACCATCCACGAACAAGTTCCACGTTAGGTGCTCAACAGGTTCCATAACCTCTTCCACCTCGGGCACATTAGTGAACTCCGCCACAAAATCAGCTAAGGCTTGGCCCTTGATGGCTGCCCTTGTCTTAAAGACAATGTCGAATTTACTTAATTTGACTGCCCATTTCAGTAGTCTTCCTGAGACATCTGGCTTCTGTAGCACTTGCCTCAAGAGAAAGTTGGTCAGCATGTGAATGGTGTGTACCTAAAAGTAGGGCCTCAGCTTCCTAGAAGCTATAATCAGGGCCAATGCTAGCTTCTCCATATCGAGATAGCGAGTTTCCAGACATAGGAGTACTTTGCTGGTGTAATATACGGGGAGTTGGGTGGTTCCTTTCCCTCGAGTTAGGACTGCACTAATGGTCTCATTGGAGACGACCGGGTATAGCTGAAGGATATCGTCAAGCTTTGGCTTAGAGAGGAGAGGGGCCTACCCTATATGCCTTTTCAGGCCCTGGAAGGCCTCTTCACACTCTTCATTTCATTTGAACTTTACCCCGACTTTCAATACTTTGAAGAATGGGAGGCATTTGTCAGTGGCCTTGGAGACAAAGCAGTTGAGAGCTGCTACTTGTCCCGTTAGGCTTTGGACTTCCTTGGGTTTCTGAGGTGATCTCATCTCGAGCAGGGCATTGATCTTTTCGAGGTTGGCTTCAATTCCTCTTTGATTGACCATGTACCCAAGAATTTGTCGAAGGCAATGCCAAAAGTACACTTGAGGAGGTTGAGCTTCATCCTGTACCTTCTGAGGGTTCGAAAAGTGTCATTCAAGTGCGTAACATTGTCATCTGCCTTCAAACTTTTCACAAGCATATCATCCACATAGACTTTCACCGTTTTGCCGATGAGGTCCACAAATATTTTATTGACGAGTCTTTGATATGTGGCCCCGATGTTTTTCAACCCGAAGGGCATCATTTTGTAGATGTAAAGGCCTATATTAGTGATAAAGGAGGTGCTCTCCTCATCGGTCAGGTACATGGGTATTTGGTTTTAACCTAAGTAGGGGTCCATGAAACTTAGGAGCTCATGCCTAGTGGTTGAGTCTACTAATTGATCGATTCTCGAAAGTGGGAAGCTGTCTTTAGGGCATGCCTTGTTAAGATTCGTAATGTCAATACATACCCTCCATTTATCGTTGTGCTTCTTCATTAGCACCGGGTTGGAGACCCACTTTGGGTAGAAGGCCTTTCTGATGAATCCATTCTTGATTAGCTTCTGAACTTCTTCCTTCGAAGCCTCATACCTTTCTGGGTTGAAGGCTCTTCTCTTCTGTCGATGTGGGGAAACCTTATGATCTATTTTTAGGTAGTGACAGCTGACCTTGGAGTCTATGCACACTATGTCCTTATGCCTCCAATTAAAGACGTCAAGGTTTTTACAGAGAAAGTCTTTCAATTTCTCTTTCATGACATTGCACAAGCCTTTACCTACTTTCAATACCTTCGTGGGGTCCCGGGGGTCGATCGGGAAGCTTTCGAGCTCCTCAACAGGAGTTGTGTTTGGGGTTCGTGTTCAATCACAAGGAGATTGATCTCATTGATCATGGATAGTTCTTCCTGCTCGGGAGGTGCGTTGATCATGTCAACATCTTTTCGTTCGAGGGGGCCTCGCTTGGGACTTCTGTCATGTCCACAACAGTCAGGATGATAGCATTCCCTGGACCCTCTTTGGTCACCTTTCACTGTTATCACCCCATTCTCAGTTGGGAGTTTTATGCATAAATGGTGGATGGAGGTGACAGCTCCTAACTCTTTCAGGGCCGGTCTTCCCAGCACTCCATGATAAGCCGACCGACTATCAACAATAAGGAATTTCATTAAGTTCACTGTGGTTTGGGGGGACTCTCCCATCTCTATCGCCAGTGTTATTTTTTCTCTCGGAGTGATACTATCTCCATTGAATCTATACAGAGGAGTGGTGGTGGGTGTCAGCTCATGGTCCAGGATCATTTTGTCAAAGGTGGACCTAAACAGGATGTTAACGAAATTGCCATTGTCCACTAGCATTCGCTTGAGCCCATTTCGAACCACAACGGCCCTTACCACAAGTACATCACAGTGGGGGTAGTGAACTCTTTCGGAGTCTTCTTGGTGAAGACGATGGGTGGTACTTGATTTTTTTGGGAGCTGCTGTCCACGATATAACTAGTTAGCGAAAGGCATAGTTCCTTTTACGTTTCTAATTTCACCACCCGCGTAGGGGCCTCCAAATATGATATCCACCTCGTGAATAGGGGCTTATTATTGTGCGTAGCGATTTCCACGATGCCTATGTCCTTCCCTGGGTCTCTCTACGTCATGTTCCCTTCGACGGGAAGATACGTCCCGCTGACGAAAAGCGGCTTCCTTACTCCTAGGTCGCTGGTTGTTCCTAGGTGGGGGCCTGTTCTCCTGTGAAGACTCATTCCTCCTGTCTTAAGGGTGTTCCCGTCGATTGCGGTATACATACTCTCAACACTCGGAGGTGTCATGACCATAGAAGCGATGGTACGTACAATGATCAGGGGGCTTTGATTAGGCCTATTCCTAGGCCCCAAACCACGTCCCCGGTCTCTTCCTTTTCGGGGAGCCCATTGTGAAATTTTTGCTTGGGGGTCGATGGTAGTTGGGTTGACATCTTCATATGCCAAAGTTGGGACTGCATTCAAAGTGGTTGTGGCCAGTGCTTACCCTAAATTTCCATTACCATGTGGGTTTATTTGGTAGTCCATCAAGTAGGAGGTTGGTCCCCTGGCACGTTGTCTCTGTTAAGGTGGGAGGCCTGTGCTAGTTCGATTTCGGTGTTCAATCAATTCCTCATTGATAATATCTCGCCTCATCATTTCCAATAAGGCGTCATAGGTGGTGGAGTCATGGTTTTGCAGTCCCTCCAAAATAAGGTGTTCATATTCAAACCTCCTCTTAGGGCTGATAAAGCCTCCCGATGGGTGACTTGCACGCAATACGTCATTTCGTCAGTAAAGCATGATAAAAATCTTTTTAGGGATTTTCCATGCGCCTGCCTCATGTCTTGAAGGCGTTGGATAGGGGTCTCTCCCTCTCTGCTCACCGCGAACCTTTTCAAGAAAGTGTTCTTGAATTCTGACCAACTCCTTATGCTCCCAGGTGGTAGCCGATTATACCAGATTTTAGCCGCTCCACTAAGTGTCAAGTGAAAAGCCCTACACTTCACAGCTGAGGTGGCGCCTCTAAGACTCATATATAAGTTTTATAAATGCTTAGGCGTTTCTCCGGGTTGCCTTTCCTATCATACTTTGATATTTTGGGCATCACATAGTGGCTCGAAACCTGGGCATTTCTTAGTTCCCTTGAAAATGGTAGATTTTTATCGTCATCGTCTAACTTACAGGACATCTACTGCTCATCTGAGTCATTGTTCTCTTCAGCCTCGTATCTGGGTGGATGATGAGAGGGTCTAGCTTGGGTCCTAGCCTCATCTTCTCTCCTTTGGCGCTTATTTCTAGGCGGAGCAGCACAAGGGACATTTTCATGCCTTTTCTCCGGCTAGTGAGTCATTAGGGATAGGGGCTGTGGCCTAGTCTGGGGCTCGCATGGATGTTGCTGTTGCCTGAGCCTCGATTTTATGGGGCTGATTCTGTCAAATACGCTGTTAGTCCTCCTAGGTCTTTGCTCTGGCTTATATGCTGGTGGGAAGTTGTCTTGGTTATATCGGGCCTCAGTGGGTCGGCCTGCAACATAAGTGGAGGAAACATCAACTTCTACTTCTCTCTCCATGGGGCTTCTGCCTTGGCTATATTCTGGTGGTACAGCCCTTTGGCTTTGGACTTCCTCATCTCGATAATGTCCTTGAGGTGTATAGGGAGGAATAGGGAAGCCTCTCTGGCTCTGCATTTGGGCTATGAGCTCCCTCATGGCCTTGTTTTGGCTGGCAATATCCCTCATGTTTGTGGCCATTGCAGCCATCTCCTTTGATAACTGAGAGACCATTCGTATGCCACCTTTTTTGTGGTGGTGATGAAGTCGATGCCGAGCTGCAGGGGCAACTGTCGGTGGGGACATTCCCACATTTTCCCTTACCCTCCTAGGGGATATAGCTTCGTCCGAACTCATTCCTTCGCGTTTCAACTTTAAAACGTTGCAAGTTATGGGACTTCTGCTTATTCTTTTCCAAGAACAAATCCTTTTCCAAAGGAATGATCGAATATTCTTCTTTTAGTAAGCTTTTTCACATGGTTACTCGTGGTTATGGTATGGTTTTCCACAGACGGTTTGACCCCAAAATATGTTGCCAACAAATACCCGACCCACCTACACACACGTGACCCTAGTCCAACACGCTAAGACACGTGGACGGTTTAGAACTAGCAATAAAGGGGGTGTGGGAGTAGCTCAAAGGCGCGGGACGAGAACATTTGGAATCCGGCCCGATGTTTGCATAACGATTGTACAATAATTACCAATCGATCTTTGTAGAATGCGAATATAAATTCGTATAGTATTATATTGCAAGACAGTAAACAGATCGTTATATAAAGTTGTATAAAGTGTGTTAAGAGAGCAAAGAATGTATAATCTCAGTTCTTGTATTGAATCTTGCATTATCCTCGTGAGAAATACATGGGGGAGTATTTATAGTATTACAAGTTAGATCGTGGCCCTCGGTTGGGAATACACGTGGCCTTATCTCGTAAGTTCGCATGTTAAATTATAGATATCACACTTGACTTCCTAGCCTGCTACACATTTATTAATCGACGGCGGAAGACAAGACATTTACACTCTATGATGAGTATCCCATCGATCAATCAAGAATGATCCTTGTGTAAGACCGGATTTCTGGGGAGAAGCCTTGCTTGGGGCATCTGGACCTCAGTGAGAAAGGCCTCGAAGTGAAGAGCCTCGACAAGGCAGACCAGCTCGCCCTATTCACTTTGGTGTCAGCATTTAGGCCACGTCATAGGTGTTGTTTAAGTAGATTGGTTGACTTCATTAGGCCTGGGAGCTTCGGCTAAGATGCCACGTGGTTCGGTATAAGTGGGCCATGGGTCCAGTGGGTTGGCCAAGTGTGGCAACACGTAACAAGATCATCTTTACTAATTGATCCATTTTTGTTTGAAGATTTTTATATTAAAAACATTATGCTTCACCCGTGCATCAAATATCATATTAACTAATTGTTCTCTACGATGTCAGTTCGAGTTGGAGCATTTAAAGCTGATGTGTGAGATATTATTGATCTCTTTAGTCAATAAATACATCTAAATAAATTATCTTTCGAACTTTTAATTCGAATGATTTTTTATGAGAATATAGATAATGATACATTTATACATTACTTTCAATTTCTTAATGCCCCTAGTGCTAAGAGAATTGTCTAATTAAAATTGACAATCAACAAATTGCATTATTAAATATCTCTCATTTGAAATAATGGTTCAAACTACGGATTTCTTCACAGTATTTTTTATTTTTCCTCTCAATACAATGTAGTGGATTAATTGTGCATATGTTGTACTATTAAAAATTTAGATGAAGAAAGCAGGCTCTAACCATAAGCCAATTATAATAAGGAGAACTTGATGTTGGCATGATGCATAGTAACATTCCCTATACAGAAATGGAAAGTACTTTATTCTTAATTAAATTAATTAGAGGCATTAAACAAGCAATAGTGTTGAGTCATTTATCGACGTCCCAACTAGCACTTATTAAATGTTTGAGATTTAGAATCACTAGTATTAACAAGACACTCCATTTTAATTGTATAATTTGAAAATTATGCTTACAATTTAAAATTTGAGCAGTAATTTCACAAATTTCACATTGCGAATACCATACAATTATCTAATATATGTATCAAATCAATTAAATATAAATAATATTTAGATGGTCAACATAGAGGATGATGGAACTGCATTTATCTCCCTGATGAATTTTCAAAAATAGAATGATTTTGGTACCAATTTTAGCTAATGATAATTGATTTAAAAAAATTAATGAAAGAAAAAAAAAATATCATATAGGATTTCACTGGATTGAATAATCTTCAAGTTCTTCATTGAATATCCATTTAATTTTTTAATATCGCATCATTATTTATCTAGTAATGATCCAACTAATTGTGCTAAATAAGAAGATCAAATTGAACTCCTAGTTCAATATAATATATAATTCTGTTATTTAATTTCGAAGATTATGATTAAACATTACATATTCGTATGATATTCAATCAAGTAGACGAACTAATCGGTGTCAACATGCGTGTGAGTTATATGTTTTCCTTTAAGAATAAACACGAATGTAAAAATGATATATTTTTAAAGCACGTGTTACTTAGAAAACATATTGTATTTTATCATCGCTTCTTCAAGAGCAATATATCAATATTTTTGTGGAATATCGAAATCATAGTGACATACTCTTTAGGAACAATAACATATTATTATTTAAAATAATAAATTGTATAAAAATTTACCTTTCAAGATTAGAAACATAATTTTTAATTGTGCTCTTATGGAGCAAGTAAAATATAACCTAAACATAAATTATAATGTGCTATTTCAGGAACAACAACAAATTATTATTTAAAAGATATTATGTTTTAGGAGTATATTTTCTATGAGAATATAATATTTATGAAGTTATGATTCTTTAGGAGCAACATGTCAATAAAAAGAATATTGAAAATTATAATTTATTTTTTTCAGGAGCAAATAATATTTTTTTGGAATATTAATTATAATATCATGTTACTTCAAAAAATCAAAAGGATGAATTATCAATTTAATATTTATAAAGGAGCATTTAAAAATATTTAATTAGGTTAAAAATATTAGTTACCATACAAAAATAATATGATATAAAAATTAATTACCAAACAGATAGGATATGAATTTATATATAAAAATTCATTACCAAACATACATTAGGAAAAATAATCTTCATATATACAAGTTAACAAAATTGACTAAATATTTTATTAGCTAAATTTTTAACCAACATGCAAAAGATACCAATTATGCATGTAAATCCTATATATACAAAAATTTAAGGTAAAATTAAAGGTGGAACTAATATGTGGTAGAATCAAAATGTAGAATTAATACGTGAATAATATGTGACAGAATTGATTGTGCATGAATCAAAAGTCATGAATTGATGTAAAGTATGAATTTACTTAATAAATCATTAATTAATGTGTATAGATTATACATACAAACGTAAATTAGAATTAATATGCATACAAACAAGACGAAAAGATAATGAAGCAACCTCATTATGATGCACATGTATGTTGAAAGAAATTCACATATTACTAAATTAATTTTGATACATGTGATAGATGATTATGTTTATAAAAAATTGCCTTCTAACTAATTCAATTTGATTTTGAAAGACTTGTGCTGATAAAGGATTATAAACTAGTGAAAAAAGAGAGAACAAAAAATAGAATCCAATAAACTAGTGCGTTTTATTAAGAGCCAAAACCCCATATTTATATGGAAGAATTATGACTACAAGAAATACAACATTAATAATGGAATACACTTTTATGTTTGTCTTACAAATAATATTCCTTAGTGTTCATCTATGGGTTTCTTAGCTGTTAAGCCAGGTTAAGATATAGGTGCCACTTCCCAAGCTTCATAACTTTTGCTTTCGGTGGTTCACCAGCGCCTATGATAGATTGCATTAATGTAAATAGAACCCTATTACAGAGACAGGGCCAAATAAGATTCAAATCAAGGGCCGAGGGCCGCTATCAATAGGGCTTATCATTAGGCCCTATTTGAATGGCAAAACCCATGTAAATAATTATCTATCTACTATAACACTCTTCTCTGGAAGCTGTTCTCAAGGAAAAAGGCAGGCGAGTTCAAAAGCACTATTTAATTTATATATTTTTCTTATGGAATATATTTTAGTAGATTAAATTTGTTAAAATATTTATGTTTTTTATATTAACTAAAAAACTTTATAATCTTAATTTTTTAATGTTATTAATTAATGACATAATTTTCATCACAAAAATGGCAAAAATATGTAAATATGTAAATTTAAAAATTGGGAGCCTTCATAAATCGGGGCTTACACGACGACCTAAATCTCCTAATCTTTGAGCTGGCTATGTTTATAAGGACTTGTTCGATATTGATTTTGAAAATTGATTTTTTTACCATTAGAGAGAAAAGTGGGTTCTATTTATGAGAAAAGAAGTAAAAAATGACGACTGGAATAGTGAAATAACGATCAAAAAATTGATTTTTTGGAGAGAAAAATCACTACCAAACATGCTCAAAAAATATAACTTCTTTGCCCAAATAATAATAATAATAATAATAATAATAATAATAATAAAACAGAAGGAGCAACTTGACGGAACATCTTTGGTAAAAGACATGGTTTAAATGAATATCTAAATAAAAGGTTAACTCGGTATCCGTCAGCTATCTAGTAAAAATTGAACACGTGCTATTGATGGTAAAATGAAATTAGTCTCACGTGAGAGGCATGTTGAAGGCACAGTCTAAATGTATAATTGGTCCCTCTCTAATAGTTAGAATTTTTCAATGAAATAGTTAACCAAAAAGATAAAGAAAATGCTTAAAATCACTTATTTTTTAGACCTGGCCAAACCGTTTGGAAGGAAGAATTTAGACATGGAAGTTGCGACAAACGGTTATCCTTAACGTTGATCCTGCACTTTGTTCACCCCAGTGCTTTATGTACGTGTAAGCAGTTCAAGAATATCTACCTGTGGCAGAAAACATTGCTTCTTTCACCAAATATTGCCTACTTCAGTTGATTCTTGCAAAACCCTTTCATTTTTTCTATCTCTTTTTGCCATTTTAAGACCGAAGCAACCGCTCTTTCTTTCAGTTGTTTGTGTTGAAAAGCCTGAGAATATCATAGTCATATGTGGAGATTAACATGAAGTTGACAGCATTGTCATTGGCGATGTCATGACCATTTTTGCATTTTTGATCAATAGATACAATTGCAAAATAGTGCAGTTTATCTTTGGGGGATTCTCTTTCCGATGTTGGGAGCAATAATTACTTGTCGAAAAATCTTGCTCGGGCAAGACTCCCTTGCCCTTGGTGTGGTATCGACTTTGGCGATGGGATGCCTAATGGGAGGTTATTTAATGGCCGCCCTGTCCCCGTTATAGTAGGTAATAATCAACTTCTTGGGACAACGCCCAAATTTTTGACTTGTTCTCCTTTCTTATTCTTGCCAAGTACGATCTCGTCCAACATAATATATAGTCTAAAGAGTTTTGTATATCGACCCATTTCTTTATATGTTACATGAGTTTGGCTTAGCATAATTCAAATTGAATTCAGGGTATAAGATGGGGATTTTCAAGGGCTCCTGTTTTTCTTGATCCATCTCTAACTGAAAGATGTCATACTAAATAATAGAGTAATTTATGCCTCCGGAGGCGGAGGGATTTTGAACGAGACGGATATTTACTTTGTAAGTTGAAACTTCTTAAGGGACCCTTTAACTAAATCTTTGTTATGAAGTACTGAAAAATGTGTACCGGTTAAGTTTATGAATCTGACATGTACGTGAAGGGACGTGTAGAAGACATAATTTAAATAGATAGTTTTTTTTTTCATTCTCTTTAGTAAATAAGTTATGTCCTCTCTTATATTCAAGCTTTTACTAGATGTAATTGGACAAGTATATTGTCAATTAATTAGCAAAGAATTGAATTAGAAAAAAAAAAAAAAAAAAGTTGGAACTATAAGCCCCTTTGAGTAAGACCAAGTCAAGTATAAAATCTTGACATATCATTCTTGTATTTCAAATCAGCAGTAGGTATCCTCTAATTAATTACTAGGAGACAATCAATACACATCTAAATCAAAATTTGTCCTATAACCACGTAATAACCGACCATATGACCGTCACGCATTTAAAACATTATTAAAAATATAAAATGTCTCTTTCGAAGTAGATTAGTGATTAATCAATACCAAAAATCAAAACTTTAGGATATTAATCAAAAGTTCTTTTTAATTTCTTTACATCATGATAATGATATATTCAACTCTCCTTATCTATGTACATACGCAATGTAATTGACTGACATAGTAGACGATATATATCCATTGTGAAAGTTTGAAATGTGAATTTTTATTTATTTATTTATTTATGTTGTCCGGTTCATACTCTGAAGTCCGTCAAAGTAAGTTTGATGTATAGACGTAATTCAAGAAAAGTTTAATTAAAATTCAAGAAGGGGGTTAATCGATTAATATGTTATGCGTGAATAATATAATTTGAATACTCATGAAATAAGAGGATAAGAAATATATTTAACTTATAATTTAATCTCTTCTCAAACATACACTAATTTATTTTGTCTTACGGCCTTTTTGATATTTTTTCTCAAGATAAAAAGACTAATTTCAAAAATAATTTATTCCATGTTTGATAGTCATTATAAAGAGAAATTGAAAGAAAGTGATGTGTTGAATAGAAATTTTTGGAGAATATGCTGTTAAAAAATAGAAAAACCTTTGGATTTACGTAAATTAATTTTGAATTTACATATAAAATATTTTATGGTGTAAACGTACGGTCAAAAATAAGTGTTTGAGAAACTTTTGAAACAATAATATTGGTCCAATGCTTCAATTGAATTGGAGATAGTTACTTAGCCCCCGTTTGGCCCCTATTAAATTACATTACATTACATTCTATTTTTCTCTCTCCTATTTTCAACCATACAATCTTCCATAAAATAATATTACACGTAAATCAAAAATTTTTCCCTCTTTTTTAACCACTTATTTTTCAAAAAAATACTATTCCACCCATTTTCATTACCAAGTAATGGGAATCAAACATGGGCTTAAAAGTATTAAGACTCTCGAGTAACATCAGAGCCGTCAAATTCAGACAAATCATCAAAAGGTACAACGCTTATCCTACTCCAACCAATCACCTCTCTCCACATAATAGACAGTTAACGTTAGTTACATAAATTTTGGTCCACCCCCAACTGGCGAGCACAAAATAGGTAGCTTCCACGCTTCGTGCATCCAAGAATCTACTTATCTTTGCCGCGGGTATAGTCCAGTGATGCAAAGAATAGGAATGAGATTTTTTTACGTCTTGCAAGCAGTCGCAGTGTGGGGGTTCGATTTCTAAGATATAAAATTGGACTTCTTATAAGCGTAGTGTACAGACAGCTCTTGTTCCCTGACCTACAGGAGCACATCCCGAAATTTACTTTCCTCACAAGACTCTAAGGACGGGGCGATTGGGCCCTCAAAGTTGGGTTTAATCTTTTTTTTTTTTTTTTTTTTTTAATGCAAGCAGTCGCAGTGTGGGGGTTCGATTTCTAAGATATAAAATTGGACTTCTTATAAGCGTAGTGTACAGACAGCTCTTGTTCCCTGACCTACAGGAGCACATCCCGAAATTTACTTTCCTCACAAGACTCTAAGGACGGGGCGATTGGGCCCTCAAAGTTGGGTTTAATCTTTTTTTTTTTTTGAGCTGTTTTGTTTAATTATATATCTTATTAGCAGGATCAAAATCACTGCTTAGCACTGCCAACAAAGCCTTTGTTGTTGCCATTTCGAAGTGTTTTTTTTTTTCTTTTTTTTGGGAAGAAATGGTTGAAGTAAAGCAACCGGAGATAAAACTATTTGGGATGAAGATTGTGCTGCGGAACGGGAAAAAGGTTGCCGTGGTCGCCGGCGGCGAGTCTTCCGACCAGATTGATGATGAAAATTGTGGTGGGTCCGATAATAGGTTCTGTTTAAATGATAATGAAGTGAGCAGAGTCGACCAAGAAGAAGATGCAGAAAAAGCAGATGCTGATGAAGAAAAACAGCAGATTGAAGAGGTCATTGTAGTTTTACTTTTCTGAGTTTTTTGCCCTCATTGTCACTTTTTCCAGAGAAATTTTGGTGGTTTTTGGACTACCAGGGTATTTAGAATCTGGATTTTAATGGGTGTTTTGGATTCTTGAATTGTTTAATTTCATTTAAAAATTAATATCCTAAATTCTTATAATTGTGTAGTTCATAATTTGATTGTGTAAGACTAAGAAAATTTCAAATCTAATTTATGAAATCGAAGGAGCTCTTGAGTAGCTTATACACTCATCTGTCTACTGGACTCAGAATTTGAATCTATAAGTTGATTTTTTTTTTTTTTTTCATATTTTTGATCAACCTGAAATTGAATGCAGAATAAGAATCAGTTTTCTGATTTCCGGTTTTTGGGGTCAACCGTCAACATGAGCCTCAAAGGTTCTACTTTCTCCAATTTTCTGGTTTCAAGTATACAGTAGGGTCGGGATTCGCAGTAATATCAAACAGAAGCTTGATCAAGCTCTGGTACTTGTTTTCAAGAATTGCTGTATGCTATATGTAATCTACAAGACATAGTTTAGTGATGTTGTCCTTTTAGTGCATGTTTGGTACTCAGTATTAGACACGACTCAACACTGCAATGAACGAGATTTTAGTTCCTTTTTCCTTCATCTCTATCACTACTGTGCAATCTTCCCTACCATAATGGTTTATAGCTATATTAGAAGAAAATTGGAGAAAGATCTTTCTCCCACTGATTTAATCTTGTTTACTGTTTCGTGGCGAATGATTTACTGTATTGCCAATTACTTATAGGCGTTTTAGTCTGAAATGACTATAGATCCAACTCATGGGAATTTATTTTTGCAATTCTAGGACGGATTAGCACGACAGTGTTGTGAATCAAAACCACAAGAAAAGGACCAGCCTCCAGCTTCAGGGGAATCCCTAAACTCTAATCCTTCATTGGAATTTGATGATCCAAAAACTCCCCACATTGATGAAGATGTTGCATCAGTACATCCTCCTAAAAGTGAGAATGATCAAAGTGATGAAACTAATTCACAGCACAAAAAACTGAAAAAGCCTGACAAAATCCTTCCATGTCCTCGCTGTAAAAGCATGGATACAAAGTTCTGTTACTACAACAATTACAACATCAATCAGCCTCGCCATTTCTGCAGGAGTTGTCAAAGATATTGGACAGCTGGTGGTAATATGAGGAATGTGCCAGTGGGTGCTGGTAGACGCAAGAACAAGAATTCTGCCTCTTATTGTCATCATATTACAATCCCTGAAGCCCTTCAAGCATCTAGAATTGACAGTCCAAATGGATTCAATCACTCAACATTTAGACCTAATGGCACTGTTCTGTCCTTCACTCCCGACTCTCAAGTTTGTGAATCGATGGCTTCTGTTCTGAATCTTTCAGAGATAGAAGTACCAAAAGGTATTCGAAATGGTTATTATATAACTGATCAAGAGACCCCGATTCCTTGCAAAATTGTCGAGAATGGTGATGATTATTATAGTGGATTGGCCGTCACAACATCAAAGTCAACGATAGAGGGAGGCAAGAATGGATCCCTCGAGCCCATTGTGCAAAATATTAATGGGTTTCCGTATCCAGTTCCGTGTCTTCCAGAGGTTCCTTGGCCTGTACCCTGGGGTTCTGCAGTTCCAGTGCCACCAATCTACCCTGCAGGATTTCCCATGCCATTCTACCCTACACCTTATTGGAACGTTACATGGTTATCGTTACAGTCGCCTACACCAAGTCAAAAGGCATTGGGCTCCAGTCCCGACTCACCATTGGGCAAGCATTCAAGGGATGGGGAATTGCTCGTGCCAAACAAGCCGGAGAGTAAAGAATGTATAGTAGAGAAGAATTCAGAAAGTTCTATTGTAATCCCAAAAACTTTACGGATTGATAATCCTGATGAAGCTGCAAAGAGTCCAATATGGGCAACGCTTGGGATCAAGTATGATTCTGTAACAAGAGAAGGCCTTTTTAAGGCCTTGCAGCCAAAATTTGACAAAAAGAAACCTGTGGCTACTGCTTCCCCTGTAATGCATGCGAACCCTGCAGCATTATCTAGGTCCATTGGCTTCCAGGAGAGTGCCTGAAGTGATATTTTAACCACTTATCGGCTTCTCCAACGAGTAATTTCTTACTTGTTACCAAGCCTTACATCTACTTCCTCTGAATGCTAGCAACAGAAATGAAGCTTAAAGTTAGTTTCTCCTGAAAGGCCTTGGGCATGAGGGGCATCCTTGAATAAACCATTGTGAAAACTAGTTGTTATTTGTCTTTTAAGTATAAGGAGGTACTTCGTTCCATTGACGACTGTGTTATAAATGTACATATATTTGTAGAGAAACACTGATAGAAGGGGAGATCAAGAGCGAGACATTGAATTACATGCAATCAGTGTAACTCAAGTGCTGAAAATTTGTTTGAGAAGCTGTCTTTTTCTTTTTCTTTTTTCCCCTTCTGCATCAAAATTGAGAACTTCGATGTGTAATATTCTATATGTAAGTCGTTCCTTTCAGTTGAACACAAAATTTAAATGAAGGCGATCTTTTGCACCTATTAGACTAAACATGAAGAACTATATTAATATGAAAGAACATTTCTCTGATCGTTTAAACATGTTAGTGAATGATTTTAATATGGGGTTGCGCTACACGGACAGGGGCCGTGACAGGGCGCCCTGTCATAGGGGCCTGTCACGGCCCCTATTCATTTAAAACTTCCCTTTGATATGGTGTCCAAGCACGAAAAATTTCTAAGTTGAGATCTTGTCAACGTGACGTAGACATTTCATTGTCAAGTATTTATAAATACTAACTTGTAAAAAGTTGGATACAGATGACTATTGGATACGTTAATGAGGGCAGCAAGTGGATAAGCAATTGAGATATTTTTTATGTTTACATCAAATGTAAACCACAAGTTATGTACAAGAATTATTAGTTGTTATGGGGGTCCAGAAATGCCATCTGCAAAGAGTTCCATAAGTGCTTTTGGCATTTTCAATTTGCCATTATGCTTTTTTATTTTTCTTTTGCCTTTTCCCTTTATGTAGGGAAAACTGGAGTTGGGAATCTTCAATTTATGAATTTTGTATAAATGAGTCCTCAATCTTCAATGATTTCGATTTTATATTAATTTTAATTGAAAAGACGATTTTATCTTTATGTTACTTCACGTTGGGAAAGATGAGAGTGGTGTGGGAGATAGAACCAATAATTTGGGACGAAAATTGAAATTAGAGAACATTGGATGTGATCTCAAACTACATGTATGTGGTTGGTATCCTTTTTAGGTAAGTGCTTCAGGAACAAAGTTAGCCTATCTTGCTGTTTACAAGTCAAAGATATTGTGTAATGGATTTCTCCATTGACTAATGAGGGTTTCACTTCAAATCAATGTTGCAATCGTTTCGACTTACCCCTTTAGTGAAAAATTGTAATGCATCCTAAAGAATTTCTACCAGCAGACTTTCTCATACTCGAAGTGGTGGGAAAAGAAGTTGACAGTGGCACGTTTAGCAGGCGAGAACATGATTGCGTAGTGAAGTTAAGAATTTCTATTCTTTCTCTTTTTCTTATTTTTCATCTTTTCATTCAAATTATTTGTATTTAAACATTATGATAAAATTAGTCAGTAAAATCGATAGAAACTGTAAATCGAGAATTATGGTGTCATAACTTTAAGAAGTTGAGTAACTATTTGTTCAAAAAAATAAATTTGTTGACCCGTTTGCAAGAATACCATAAATTGAAGTTGGTGTTACAATTTCTCCATACATACATGTAAACACTCCTTGCCACACGTGCTAAATCTAATGTTTGTGTTTTCAAATAATTTAGTTCCAGAGTAGGCTGGCTGGCAGGGTATGGACAATTGAATTGTAACCATTCCATAAAAAATAGGCGGGCCTCCCTTCTTGTGAGGGGGCGTGTACACATGTGTACAAATAACAAATTTCGAAAAAATATTCGCCATCCATGCACAAAAAACTTTATGCTGCTAAATTTTGTCGCCATCCTTTTCTGTCCAATCATGCTACATGTATAGAATTTTTTGCCAAACAATTTGACAGATTGCATAATTTCACTGAACATTTAACAAAAACTTCAAAGTAATCAATTTAATGTTGCCACCTCATTATCAGTAAAAATTCGTGTACATTTTATCTGTACAGTGAGCTTTAATTCTTCTACCCATTACACAAATTTTAGATATGATATCATGACCGCCATAAATAGTACATGTCATCAATCAAATGAACCCTTATTATCCGATGGACAAGACACTATTAAAATATTTCTATTTCTCATTTATCGTTTGAATTTATTTTTTATTTTTAAATAAATAAGAGCAGGTTCAGGTAGAAAATGGCCCCAAATTTCTAATAGGGCAGGACCCAGACATTTTGGCACATTTAATTATTAAATAATCTTCATCTAGCAAAGTTGGTGCTACAACATCAATGATACTGTGATATGCTAAAAAAATATGTGACTTATTTAATTGTATATCGTAGTGACGTTTAAATGAATTGTAATATCAATGATGCTAAATAGTATTATCGTATAATTGTTACCAAAGATATAGAATCATCTTTAGGTCCGATATGGTAGGCCTAATTTCTTGTCCAAGACTTAACCCACAAAACGATCTAATTATTTGGCCTACTTATCTTCTTTCCAAAAGACCCAACAAACTAATCCAATGGCCCAATACACAAATCACTAAGCCCAGTGTCGAAAGCATGTATCTGCTCTCTTACGTCATTTTAGTCAACGCCCTCCCCATTTTTATCACAGGGAAGCTTCAGAGCCCGGATTAAATCCCGGGTTTGGCTCACCTCGGACCTCGATGTTGCATCACATGGAGCCCGCCGAATTCAAATCAGGGGCCGAGGTCACGCCACCTCGGCCATGGAGCCAATCCCACGATTTAATCCCTGGAGTTCCAGCATTTTTCTTTTTCTTTTTCTTATTAGGATTTTTTTCGCGCGCGTGCGCACATATACATGTGCAGCAGAAACTTGTGCAACAGCCTCAAGGTTCATGGATCAAACTTTAATAATCCTTTTCTTGATTTTGGCATGACCATTTTACACTTACATTTCGTTTATTTTCGAAGGCTTTGGAACCTCTTCAACTCGAAATGGAATCAAATGGAAGTGTAATGTTTTGATAACCAAAGTTGTTAAAGACTTGTGGTCCATCTTAATAATGTGGATTGGTCCAAGATCTATTTAAGTTGTTCAATATTTTGATATTTACCCTGGATTTATTCCCTTAACAAGTCAAAGGCTCTAAAATAATTTGTTTAAGTTGCATGTTTTTTCAAACGAAAATGATTATCGATATTATCACTAGTTTGTACTCTATACGTGCTGTCTACTAGTTGCAGAAGTCAATATTATTTATCTATTTTTTGCCATTGAATGTTCAATACATAATCAATGCCAGATTCATTTCTTCCTATATATATATATATACTGAATCCAGAGAGGCTGACGGAAAGTACAATTATTCACAATGTTAAAGCAGGTATCTTCTACAAATTGATGCTAATATTGTACGGCGTTGTGCAATTTGTCTAGAGTCCAAAAGAATGTGCTATTGTACAATTTTCTTAATGATTCTTCATGTGGGTAAGAAAAAGTCTAGAATGGGTGCTTTTACTTTATTTGACATCTCGTGTTTTGCAATTTTTTTTTAGGCTAACAGCTGCCTTGCTTTAACCAGCCTAATCTAAATGCATTCTGCATATATAAGAAGGCCTGTTAAATTTAAGCATTTGTAATGCAAGGATGATTATGATGTTTAGTATTATGTGTAGATGAAAATTAGGAGGAAATTTGTGATAATAACTGATTGTAAAATTGATGACTTCAAACAGAAGACAAGTTACTTGACATGGTGGTGTAATACACTATTAGCTAGCTTGATTTTATTTTCTTTTCTTTTCTTTTAATGTAGTTTTCATCATTTTTCATGATGATTTACTACTAGGTTTTTGTATTATTTTTGAATTATCATCTATGATTTTCGATGTTTCAACAGATTCTCACGATGATGGTGTTCACTATATTGAGTGGTCACCTACTTCCTCTCCCCGTGCTTTGCTCATAGTTTTCCGTGGGTACTGTCTGTTTGTAATTAACTGACGATAATTATATTTGATTTTTGATCCCATGAATCATCTTTCAGCAGATGTTAACATCTGATTAAGTCTCATTAACTAATGCAATTTGATTTTTTTTTTAACAACTGGTTGGCCAAATTTCTGTGTGCGCTCTGTTTTCTCCTCGGGCTCTGTTCAGCTCCATTGGTCCCAATGGCCTCCTAATCAGAGTGGTGGACGAACAAAATGGTTTTGCACAAGTAATGTTCTATTGATAGCAGAACCTAGTGGGATTAAGGCTGCTGATGCAATTGTTACAGATTCTGGTGCTTTGCATGTGGCTGGTGTTCCAATTGCAAACACATTGACTGTTGTCATTTGGGAGGTTACTCCTGGCCTTAGAAAAAGTTTTCAAGATACCCCTAAGGCTCGTCACTTAACTCTCCTCCTTGGGATGGTTTTGCCCCTCCCGCTGCATACTTGTTTGGCTGGCAGGAGTTTTTCTTATTAGAAAAAAAGCGAGGGATGAAACACACGGAGCAAGATTATGGCAATATGGTAGCTATTCATTGTTCAAAAGTTTCAAACTTTTTTGCACGTGTGAATCCTGAGGCTACGGCCCAACCTTCGCAATGGAAATGCCCTCTTCCACCCGACCAACATAGGGGCTAGCTTGCTCCGCGCTAAATTTGGCGACGCCCTCATCGTCATGTACCGCCGAAGCTTAGACCTTATTTGCCAGAAGTCTATCTCATTTTCCCACTCACTTGACACGGACCTAGTTTCATTACACCTGAATAACTAGAACCGTGCGGCCCAAGTCCCTTTATTTATAGGCAAACTCAAGGTATGCAAGTTGGCATTAATGGCTAGGATTAATCTTGATCCAAGGGCTTTCATTGATTGCAAGTTGCCTTAAACCTTCTTTGACCATAAGGTAGCCAAGTTTATCAATAGCTACAACTCGATATTTTGGGGTTGTTGTGAAAGCTTTCTCCAAGAATCTTCAATTCGGTACTTTTTGGATTCAGTCCAACATACCTTTTTCTACCAACAACCAATCCAATCGATTCCAAACCACAACCAATATAATTCACTTTGGTTGCTTTTCAATCTTACCCACGTAGGACAAGAAAATGTGATGATTTGTGACCGCAAGGGCTAGGAGAAGACACCACAAAGGTAGGTTATGAAGGAACCACCAATTACACAAAGTAAACAAACGTTTTGGACACTTCTTGGAACTGTTTTTCACACACCCAAGGGGGCAATCGGGATTCTTCTATTTTTCTCACAAAACCACACAAATCATACAAGAAAGTACCTAGGGTTATAGCTTTATATATACTCTAGGGTTAGGTTTTAAATTGGACCTTTAAGAGGTTTAAACGGGTCAAGATTGAAGTCATCCAAGATGGAATACAATTGGGCCGGGTGGAGC